GATTAACAATACCTGTCTGTGGCCTGTGTATATTATTCGTTTATATTTAAATTTTTCCTTTAAGATTTTTATAAAGTATTCCGAATGGTATGTATGGCGAATTTTCCAAATATGAACAACTTCAACGAGGATAGTCAATTTTCTCAAGTAAGTACTTTAATATATACCTCAATTAAATCAGTTGTTACTTGTCATCATGTATGTAGGTAGGTACATCATGTTTGCAAATTTTAGTTTAAAATGAAAAATTGTTGCCATCTTTTTAACTAGGTAGGTACCTGCCTTTTACATTCTGAGCGGAGCGAGGAAGCTAGTGGTTATACGATGGTGTTTTTTTTTATTTTATTTTTTTTTTTTTCATTTTTGTGTCTGGTATCACCTTTTAGGACAGTAACCGTGCTTGGATTTTCTTCAACACTCTTTTCTGATAGGAAAGTGAATCTAGTTGGTACTTTGGGGGGTCAAAAGTAAAATATTTCTAGTAGTTTTCAAAAGCACGGTGAAAAACAAAAGAATAATTAAGGAAAAACTGGAATTTTTACACTAAATTAATTTTACACAAAATCGATTTTGGTTTTTGTTGTTACTCTAAAACAAATAACGTATATACATGAAAATATCACTAGTTGCTTATATTTCGATTTTCTATACATGATAAAATTTTCCAAATATTTTGAGCTCTTTACGGACATTTTCAGTTTCTATTTTTTTTTTTTTTTTTTTTTTTCTATAAATATCAATAAAATTTTATTTGTTGGGTACAAAAGCTTAAAAATTTAATAGAAAGCTCCTAATATTATATTGTTTCGAAGACAGATGAAAAATATTAATAATCCTCAGTCACAGTTTTATGTTATAAGCATTTAAAGTTCAGATATTAACAAAATACTTAAAAATTACGAACATTTGTAAATTATTTCAAGTTAGAAATTCATAAAAATTTTTCTTTTTAAATCTAAGAAATGAAAATGTAATACAAGATTCCTCATAAGTTTGTCTACCTTTATCAAAAAAAAATGTCTATAAGAAACTCAAATTAAATTTTTATGAGCGTTTGAAATTAAAATTTTAACAACATTGGATATTCACTCGATTTCTCATGTAGCGATTTCCTTATTTTGTTGTAATTGAAAAAGGAATAACTATAGATACTAGAAAATTTCACTGAATGTTTGTATTAGAGTTTCCTATACACCATATAATTTTGAAAATATTTTGATTTATTTTGAGCTGTTTACGGACATATACAATTTTTAATTTTTTTAGTTTTTTTTTCTATAAATATCAATAAAATTTTATTTGTTGGGTAAAAAAGCTTGAAAAGTTAATGCAAAGCTTCTGATATATTGTTACAATAGCACTTGAAAAATATTAAAAATAAATAGGCACAATTTTTTTTTATAATGATTTTAAGTTCAAATTTTGACAAAATTTATCACATTTAAAATTTATTAATAATTTTGTATTTAAAAATTTATAAAATGTTCAACTTTTATTACTAATAATTGAAAATTCAAAACAAGATTCCATGTAAGTAGTTAATTCTGTTACCAAAAATCTAAAAAATACACAAGCACAGTTTATTTTTATAGTCATTTTAAGTTCAAATTTGGACGAAATTACATATTAAAATCAATATTAACGATTTTAGTTTTTTGTTGTAATTTAAAAATATTATATGAAACTGAAAAATCAAAATATTATGGCCTATCCATACAATCTAACATAGTATAATGAATAAGAAGTATGCTCAATGATAAAACTGTGTATATTTTTTTATTACCATTGATAAGTATATAATAATATGTCTTAAACCTAGACTGACATGCTGGCTCCGCTCTGAATCGTTTTTCTTATACAATGATATTATATCATTGAATTCAAATTTAATACCATCCATTATACAGTGACCCACTTGTAATCTACTGTACAGCACAGCACGTTTTTACCTAATGTTTACAAGGTGTACAAAAAAATACAATTGTTTTATGTTAATTTTTGTCATTTTATGCAGTAAGTGTAAGATATACATGTATTATGAAATAATTATTTACAGCTAATTGTATATATTATAGTCAATTATATATGCATATAATAAACACGCATTTTCTTCTTTGACTATTATTACTTCTTATAAAACCTGCCTATTTTTTAAATACCTAGTTTATTAATGTTTAATTAATTTTTATTACTGAATATATTTTTCAAAATAAAAGTTTTATTTTCCAACTACAGATTGATATTTAAAATAAACTTACTTTAATGTTAATTTAACCAATATTTAAATTTTGAATTACACCCGAGTAATTTTAAAAACACACATGAGAAGTGTTAACTTGACCTAGTTTTAAACCCAGTGTAGTAGTTTCTGCAGTTAAATAAGCATTTATTAGTTATTTAATTTAACTTTTAGTGGTGTTGAATTGACAACAGTTAATTTTGATTTTAACCCAATCTAGTTTTTCCAACTGTTAAATAAGCATTTATCAGTTATTTAGTTTGACTTATAGCGGTGTCGATTTGACAACAGTCCATTTTGATTTCAACACAGATTGAAGTTACATAGACATTATTTGGTGTTAAAACAAGTGTTTAAAAATTCCATTAATCGCTCCTACAATTTAAACCCAATTAATGTTAAATTAACTGCAGGCTAGCCTTAGCTCAAAAACGACGTTCAAATGTGAATAACTTTGACACTCTTAGTGGTTAATTTGATCTCTCTATGCGTGCACACTATTCCAATAATAACTATAATCGGTTTTAAGTAAGCAATAATCATACATTAATTTCATAAATACAATTATTAATATAAAATATAAACTATAATATTATATTATTTTTATCGGGTCTGTTATTTTAAAAATACCGTAGTGTTTACGTGTATCAGTGCCAGCCCCGCAAATCGTATTATAATATTCTGAATATCACTATAACCATAGGACAATATAGAAGCGAAACTCGATCAGCTGATTGGGCAATAACTAAATAATCCTAATAATAATATCGTCCCAATAGTACCTACTCAAATTGCGACCCGTGTGGAAGTGTGATTTTCGTAGGAAACTGGTTGTTATCGACGAAAATCAAAACAGTAGGTAGCAGCGATATTATGCATACCTACTTACTCGTTATTATTGGCTTGAAAATAATCAAACATATGTTTTATATTCTCCATTTAATTATAAGAAAAATTAATCTGTACCTACCACCATTGATTATAAATGAATGGCAATTTGTTAAAAGGGACCCCCGATGTACATTTTAAACTCGAAACAAAAAACAGTTTTCCTTTATGTCTACTCGCGTAATAGGTACCTTTAACAAACTATGAAATATTTCATAATAATTTTGCACAGACAAGATGATACGAAATAGGTACTTTTTAGCACAAAACGATGTGTTTACGATGTGTGAACAATATTATGCAACAAAACTGTTTCTGTCGCCCATGAGCATAATATCGATGAGGGCCTACCGGGAAAATCCTGATTTCCCGACGGACCTATCCGCCCGTGCTTAGGAGACTCGGTCTCAAAGTCTCCCCCCGACGAGCCTTGCAGCCGACGACAACGTATTATCGTAATAACGCCGCGTCCGACGTAAATCCGACGACATTTTCTATTTCGATCGTCATTCCAATACGATTGGACGAAACTGTTTTGTTTTCCGTCGGATTCTCGTAGTACACGGTCACACGGCGTGACACGGCCGCCCGACAACGATAGTATTATGTAATTATAAATTATAATTTATTAGTATCGGTTCTGTTATTTTCAAAAATACCGTCGTCGTCTTCGTGTTTACGTGTGTCATAATAATATTGTCCCAATTATAGTGCTCAAATTGCGACCCGTGTGCAAGTGTGATTTTCGTGGGAAACTGGTTGTTATCGACGAAAATCAAAGCAGTAGGTAGCAGTAATATTATGCATACCCATATCTTACTCGTTATTATTGGTTTGAAAATATTCAAACATATATTTTATATTCTCAATTTAATTATAAGAACAATTAATCTGTATTCCCCATTGGTTATAAATACTACTATACCTACTTGTAGTATTTATAGTCAATAGTACCACGTAGGCAGGTACCTATAAAAAAAAAAAAAAATTATGAACGATAATATATTATAATCACTCTGTATAGCGCTTGTTTCGCGCTGTATGCACGTGACAGAGCCGGACACTGAATGACACAGAGTGGGGAAATAGAGGCCTTGGAACGGTCGCTGCCGTCAGTCTGCATGCGCGTAACGGGTTACTTTTCTCGTGGGCGCTAGTATGCTTGGAAAATTGTTCATCGTCGACGAGACACGGATATAAATATATTATGATATAATATATATGTGGTCGACGATGACCGATGGCGGTATAGCTATGGTATATCGTATAACATAGTGTCCATCAGGGCCGTATTTACGCCTAGGCCCATGAGGCCCAGGCCTAGGGCGTCAATTTTTGTAAGAAATAAAAAAAAAATCATATAAATATTTTATGCATTTATGTAAATGCGTAAATTAATATTATATAATATTTAATAGTAATATAAATAATATTTAATATAATAGATAACATAAGTATACCTAAGATTAAAAATGTATACTGCTAATGCCTAATTTTAATTTATAATTTTTTGTTTTGTTTATAATGACTATTGACCTAATTTCTTTATAATAAAATAAATTTATTAGAAATAATTAAAACATTTTTTTTTTTTTTGAGGGGGGGCATATTTAAAAGGGCCTAGGGTGGCACTTGTTCTAAATCCGGCCCTGAGTGTCATAGTATAATAATATAATAAATAATAATATTATTGTTGTTAATTGTTATCACTTTTGTTATCACCTTTCTGTTGTAATCTTGTTGTGTACACTTAACCTAAATGTGTGAATACTATAACGTTGTCTTTTGTTCTGTCATTATAAAACCTCGTTATGTCTTGAACTTAAAAGCGGAGCTGTTATTCTTTTTGTCCTTTTACGTCAAACAACAGGTTATGGGCCCAGACATGGCTAAAAGAACTGATGACAAGTATGGGATAACTCAATTTGCTGGAACTAATTTTCCAAACTGGAAATTTAGAGTAGAAATACTTCTCGAAGAATTTGGAGTAAGAGCCTGCCTTACAGGTAATGAGCCTAGTTCAACTCAAAAGGTAGAGCTGGAAAAGTGGCAAAAGGATGACAAGAAATGTAAGTCCCTAATTGTTCAATGTGTTGCTGACAGTCATTTAGAGTATGTAATGGGCAAAGAAACTGCGAAGGAAATCTGGAATTCGTTAGTTCAGACGTTTGAACGTAAGGGTGTTGCGAGTCAACTGTATCTAAGACGACGGTTACTTACACTAAAACTTGAAAATGACACTAATCTTGAAGCTCATTTTATAAAATTTGATTAACTTATAAGACAGTTGAAGTCAGCTGGGGCAAAACTGGAAAAAGAAGATATAGTATGTCATCTTCTGTTGACGATGCCGGAAACATATAACAATGTTGTGACAGCAATAGAAACACTTTCAATTGAGAAATTAACAATTGAATTTGTTAAAGGAAGATTGCTGGATGAAGAAGCGAAGAAAACAAATACTACAGATATACCTCAACAGAGAAGTACAGCTTTTGGAACTACAAGTAATAGTAGTTTTCCATTTAAATGCTATGGATGTGATAAAGTTGGTCATCGGGTATCAGAATGTAAATTTAAAAAAAAGTTTGGTAGAGACAAAAATAAGAAATCTTGGAAAAAGTCAACAGCAAATAATGTAGTCAGCAAAAGTGAAGATGCGGTTTGTTTTTCAATTGGAAAAGATATGGAACCTACCGAGAAGGCAAGTGAAATTTTTTGGTTCATTGATTCCGGTTGTTCAGATCACTTGGTGAATCAAGAAAAATATTTCTCCTTTATAAAGCAAATGGAAACTCCTCTGAACATCGGAGTTGCCAAAAATGGGGAAAGTTTAATTGCGACTAAGACAGGTACAATAATTTCTTATAGTAGAGTTGATGGTGAAGAAATTCTGTGTAAGTTGAAAACGTATACTACGTACCTAATCTAAGGTACAACTTATTATCAGTTGGTAAGATCGAACAGTTGAACTTTAAAGTTGTGTTTGAAAATGGTCTTGCAACAATCACTCAACCTAGTGGAAATGTAGTTGCTGTTGCACGCAGAATGAGAACTCTGTATGGCATAACTTTCTCTCTAAAACCAAATACTTGTGCAAATAACTGTATTGATACACAAATTGATGAGAGTTTGTGGCACAAAAGGATGGGACATCCAAACAAAAGTTATTTATGGATGTTGAGAGATATGGTTACTGGACTAAATCTTAACAAGAATGATATTCCGGACTTCTGCCAAACATGTGTAGAAAGCAAGCACTCAAGAAAACCATTTCAATCAAGGTCTTTTCAGACTCGTCGTCCGCTGGAAATTGTGCACAGTGATGTGTGTGGACCAATATCACCGACTACTTGGAACGGTAAGAAATACTTTCTTTCATTCACTGATGATTATACCCGTTTTTCAATTATTTATTTATTAGAAAAAAAAAGTCAAGTGTTTCAATGCTTTCAAAATTATGAAGCAACTGTAAGTGCATTTTTTGATTTAAAAGTTTCCATATTGAGATGTGACAATGGAGGGGAGTATGTAAGCAATGAGTTAAAACGTTTTTGTTCAGTTAAAGGAATTGTTGTTGACTATACTGTTCCTTACACACCTGAACAAAATGGTTTAGCAGAAAGATTGAATAGAACATTGGTAGAAAGAACAAGATCATTGCTGTTACAATCAAACTTGTCAAAAGAAATGTGGAGAGAAGCAGTACTCACGGCCGCTTATTTGGGAAACCGACTACCAACACATGCAAATATAAAGAAGACTCCTGTTGAGCTTTGGACTGGAAGTAAGCCTAACTTAAACAATATTAGAATCTTCGGATGCGTTGCTTTCGCACACATACCAGACCAATTGAGGCGTAAGTTAGACTCAAAGTCAAAAAGATGTATATTTGTTGGTTATACAAAAAATGGTTATAGGCTATGGGATCCATTAACAAAGACTGTGTTTGTCAGTCGAGATGTCATATTTAATGAAAAAGAATTGTTAAATCCTATAATTACTAATAATGAAAAGAAAATACTTGTTGAAATAAACAATTCAGAAATTGCTGAGGAATCAAAAGAAACCACTGAACAAGAATCTCAAGATGAAGAAAGAAAAACAGAAAATGATGTGGATAAAGTCATTGGAAATAATATACCAACACAAGAACAATTGAAAAGAAACAGGAAAACTCCAACGTGGCATAAGGATTATGAAATGTCAATGATGGCACTTTCTGCTGAATACTATGTTCAAGATTTACCAGAAACTGTTGAAGAAATCAAAACTCACCCAAATCATACTCAGTGGAAAGCAGCTATGGAAGAAGAAATGAGAGCTCTTAATGAGAATAATACATGGACTTTTGTTAAAAGACTGCCTAACAAAAGGGTTATGAACAACAAGTGGGTCTTTAAAGTTAAAACTGATGAACAAGGAAATGTTATACGATTTAAAGCAAGACTTGTTGTCAAAGGCTATTCTCAAAAGTTGGGTTTTGACTATATGGATACCTATGCACCTGTAGCCAACATAGTGACTGTTCGCACATTACTATCACTGGCACTACACAAAGACTTGCATATTATTCAAATGGATGTGACAACAGCGTTTCTGAATGGAATAGTTGAAGAAAAATTGTACATGAGACAACCTGAGGGTTTTGAGAAAGGGGAAAACTTAGTTTGTAAACTAAATAAATCATTGTATGGTTTAAAACAAGCTCCTTATTGTTGGAATAAAAGATTTAATGAATTTATTGAAGGGCAAGGATTAGTAAGAAGTAATTCTGATCGATGCTTATATATAAAAATTAATAGTAATGTATGTTTATTTTTACTATTGTATTTGGATGATGTTCTAATAGTGAGCAACTCTATGAAGTCAATGAATGACTTAAGAAGAACACTGAAAGAAGAATTTAAATTAACCGATCAAGGCGAAGCAAAATCATTTCTAGGTATTAAAATAGAACGTACTGAAGACTCTATGAAAATTAGTCAAACTCATTATTTGGAAAAGTTGCTGAAGAAATTTTCAATGGAAGACTGCAAGCCAATATCGACACCTATGGAAACCAAACTTAATACAGAAAATGGAGAGGCAACTAATAAACCTTATCGCGAGTTAATTGGCTGTCTAATGTATGTAATGATTCAAACAAGACCGGATTTAAGCGTTGCAGTGAACTTGTTTAGTCGATATCAGTCTCAACCGACAGACAGTTTATACATTCAACTCAAAAGAGTACTACGTTATGTGAAGGGTACTACTGATTTTGGTCTTATCTATAAAAAGGGTAAAGAAGTAAGTCCACTAAGGGGATTTGTTGATGCAGATTTCGCTAATGACATCAACGATAGGAAATCTACCTCTGGATACTTATTTCAAATATATGGATCCACAGTTTGCTGGTCTACAAGAAAGCAATCAACAGTAGCAATCTCCTCAACAGAGGCTGAATATCTAGCATTGGCATCAGCTATACAAGAAGCTATGTGGCTCAAAGGTTTACTTGTTGAAATGTGCGTTATAGGAGCAGATGAACAAATTGTTTTGTATGAAGACAATCAATCCTGCATCAAAATTGCTGAAGAGCCAAGAAAACATCAAAGACTTAAACATCTAGATACCAAGTACAATTTCATTAATGAATCAATTGCCAACAATGAAATAAAATTGGAGTATGTTCCATCAGAAAATCAGCTAGCCGACATTCTTACTAAACCACTGTCGGCTTCAACATTTATGAGACTGAAGAAACTTATTGGTGTCAATGAATACTAAGATTATTTTTTTTTATGGTTTATATTAAATTATTCAATAGTCAAGTATAATATTGTTATTTGTTTTACATTATGTTTATTTATTATTATTATTTTACCTATGTTATATGTATACTTGAAATTTTTAATTAATGTTTGTAGTTACAAGATTAAGTGGAAGTGTTGTTAATTGTTATCACTTTTGTTATCACCTTTCTGTTGTAATCTTGTTGTGTACACTTAACCTAAATGTGTGAATACTATAACGTTGTCTTTTGTTCTGTCATTATAAAACCTTGTTATGTCTTGAACTTAAAAGCGGAGCTGTTATTCTTTTTGTCCTTTTACATTAAACAACAATTATTTTGCTTTCTTCATTAAATTATTAACGAAAATTATAATACTCTTTTGTAATGATCTTCGAAAATAATTTCGATGCCTACAGCCTGAAAAGCCTACTCGGACAACGCTCGTAATGAATGGGATTCCACACTACCGCTTTTTAGAGTAAAATAGACCTATACGCGTTCCAACGTACAAACTTGAGTTTTACTCCTATGATAATTTTGAAAACATATTTGTATTTATTAAGAAGTATATTTTGAATCCTTCGAATCAGAATAATAAAAAAAAAATTTTAAAACTTTTCGTGTCCATTAAAAATTTTTAAAAATACAAGTTTTTTTATAAATTTCAAGTGAGGTTTTTTCTTTTCAAGAATAATAAATTAAAAATGTGTCTCGAAGGATTCAAAGATGACAGAACAACAAAACAAAATTTGTTTTCAAAATTATTATCGGTGTACAACCCAAGTCGGAATGTTGAAATTCGTTTAGGTCTATAGCCCCGTCCACACCAAAGAAAATTTTGTCGGAAACAAGTGTTTCCAACTTTGTCATCGACAATGTTTCCGATTTCCGTTCATAAGCGGTAACATAAATATTTGTCGACGACAATGTCAGAAACATATATTTCCTACAAATGTTTCTTGGTCTGGACCGGGCTTAAGACTTACAACATTTCGCCATGAAATAAATACGTTGTCGGTGACATGTGACATGTGCGTGCGAGTGCGACTGCGCAACGCTCATCTAGCTCGCCGTCAGTTGGCCGTATATCGTTTGCGCATCGTCTGTTTGCCTGCACCAAATTATCGTATATCATATGCGCATCAAAATGCTGAACAATAGAAAGGTATAATAATAATTGTTCACTCATATAATTAATATATAATAATATTATATAGATAATGAATAATTCAATATACATAGGCACAAGTTTTTGTTCGATAAGCATTTAAAGTTAAAACGGTGACAACATTTATCAAAAGCTCAAAAATTTGCGAATTATTTTGTAGTAAAAAATTTAACACTCGGTTCAATTATAGGCGCATTACATGGTCATAGTTATAGTAAAAAATATACGTATAACATATAGGTAGCCAGGTAGGTAGTTTGAGTAAAATTTAATTCGACTAAATTGTGTTCAGTTCATTTAGGATTGAATTTCATGATTAAAGTCAGAA